CAGGTTCAAGCAATTCTACTGCCTCAGCCTCCGAGTAGCTGGGATTATAGGCTCCCGCCACCACACCCGGATAATTTTGTATCTTCAGGAGAGATGGGGTTTCTCTATGTTGATCAGGCTGGTCTCAAACTCCTGACCTCAGGTGATCCGCTCACCTAAGCCTCCAAAGTGCTGGGATTACAGGCGTGAGCCACCGCGCCCAGCCTATTCTGCTTTTGTGTGTGTGTGTGTATGTCAGTGCTTTTCAGCAAACCTTCGGAGGGCAAAGGGGAAGTTATAAAACTATTATCAAATAAACTTGTTATGCTTTTCTCTTGTTAACCTGTGTTTTGTTATAGGGTTTTCTGTCATGACCCTTATGATAGGGAGAAAAGGGACCACCCCTACACCAGCCCCCAATTAAAACCCTGAACACCAAGCTAGAGTGAGCTTCCCTGGTTCTGTATGGCATGAACACAAATCTCTCACATATCGTTCCTGGGAGATTTTTTCTTTTTTTTCCTTTTTTTTTTTTTTTTTGAGACACAGTTTTGCTCTCATTGCCCAGGCTGGAGTGCAACGGTGTGAACTCGGCTCACTGCAACCCATGCCTCCTGGGTTCAAGCGATTCTCCTGCCTCAGCCTCCCGAGTAGCTGGGATTACAGGCATGCACCACCACGCTCGGCTAATTTTGCATTTTCAGTAGAGAAAGGGTTTCTCCATGTTGGTCAGGCTGGTCTCGAACTCCCGACCTCAGGTGATCCACCTGCCTCGGCTTCCCAAAGTGCCAGGATTACAGGCATGAGTCACTGCGCCTGGCCTGTTCCTGGGAGATTTAAAGGTTAACAGTAAAATTCCAGAGAGAGAGAGGACAATGGGAAGCCTGCACTTGGTCTCTCCTGGACCTTGGAGCTTGCTCTATGTGCTTTTTTCTGTTGCTGTTTTATTTTTTGAGATGGAGTCTCACTCTGTTGCCCAGGCTGGAGTGCAGTAGCAGAATCTCAGCTCACTGCAAGCTCCACTTCCCGGGTTCAAGCGATTCTCGTGCCTCAGCCTCCCAAGTAGCTGGGATTACAGGCACCTGCCACCACGGCCAGCTAATTTTTATATTTTTAGTATTGATGGGGTTTTACAATGTTGACTACGCTAGTCTTGATCTCCTGACCTCAGCTGATCCACCCACTTTGGCCTCCCAAAGTGCTGGGATTATAGGCGTAAGCCACCACGCTCAGCATGTTGCTGACTTTTAATCTGCATCCTTTCACTCTAACACTCTACCATAAATGCAACACAGTATTTGCTGAATTCTAGGAGTTCTAGCAAATCACTGAACCAGAGGGTGGTATTGGGGACCCAAGAACACAGACAGTAACCAACGACTCCCTTGTCAAACACACATACACATATAGTCTCCATTCCACCATTTGTCTTTTATTTTTGCTGCTTTCTAAAAGGAGTTAATTTGTAAAAGGTCTGCATTATAAAATTTGTTTTTCCTCTCTGTAGAGGTCCTAAGTGTGCGTGAGGGTTTTCTTCTTTTATTCCTTATATAAGTTAAACACATTTTTTAAACTCAAATTCCACACATTTTTTATATAAACTCACAAGGGAAAAAATTTGGGAATATATGGAGTAAAAATGTGAGCGCCTTTCAACTCCTCTTTTTGTTTTGTTTTGTTTTTGAGACAGAGTATCGCTCTTGCTGCCCAGGCTGGAGTGCAATGGCGCGATCTCTGCTCACTGCAACCTCCACCTCCCAGGTTCAAGCGATTCTCCTGCCTCAGCCTCCCAAGTAGCTGGGATTACAGGCATAAGCCACCACATCCAGCCTCTCCTTAATATTTGATTCTCCTGTGTATCTGTGATACCAGGACAATTCTTCTTAGATCTTTATACAGAATTCCCTTAAGGCATACATTTTTTTCCTGTAATAATGATTTGAGGCAGTTTTAATCTTACAGAAGATTAGAATTTTCAACTCATTTTGATATTGTAACTGTTATGGACTAAATTATATTCCATATAATTAATTCCATATAATATATTCCCCCAAATTAATATGTTGAAGTCCTAACCCCCAATGTGACTTTATTTGGAAATAGGGCCTTAAAGGTTGTATTTTTTTTTGGAGACAGTCTCGCTCTCTTGCCCAGACTGGAGTGCAATGGCGTGATCTCAGCTAACTGCAACCTCCACCTCGCAAGTTCAAGCAATTCTCCTGCCTCAGCTTCCCAAGTTGCTGGGATTACAGGCACCCACCACCACATCCGGCTAATTTTTTTTTTTTTTGAGACGGAGTCTCGCTCTGTCGCCCAGGCTGGAGTGTAGTGGCGCAATCTTGGCTCACTGCAAGCTCCGCCTCCTGGGTTCACGCCATTCTCCTGCCTCAGCCTCCCGAGTAGTTGGGACTACAGGCACCCACCACCATGCCCGGCTGATTTTTTTTTTTTTTTTTTTTTTTTTTGTAGAGACGGGGTTTCACCATGTTAGCCAGGATGGTCTCCATCTCCTGACCTTATGATCCACCTGCCTCGGCCTCCCAAAGTGCTGCACATCCGGCTAATTTTTGTATTTTTAGTAGAGATGGGGTTTCACCAAGTTGGCCAGGTTGGTCTCAAACTCCTGACCTCAGGTGATCCACCTGCCTTGGCCTCCCAAAGTGCTGGGATTACAGGCGTGAGCCACTGCACTGGGCCTGTAATTAAAGTTAAATAAGGTCATAAAGGTGGGGTCTTAATCCAATAGCAATAGTGTCCTCATAAGAAGATGAAGAGACACCAAGAGTGCATGCATACAGTGCAAAGGCCAGTAGAAGAGGACACAGAGAAAAGCCAGTTCCTTCTGCAAGCCAAGAAGAGAGGTTCACTGGAAACCAACAGGGCACGCACTTTGATTTTGAACTTACCACCTTTAGAACTGTGAGATACGACATTTCTGTGTTTGCACTCAGTCTGCAGTATTGTATAGCAGACTGAGCAGGCTACGACAGTCAGTCACCAAAGATGCATACTCTAAGGTAAAAATTAAAAGCATGTTCTTCACAGTTGACATTTCCAATCAGATGAAAATGACACCAACATATTACAAGAACTGTAACTCATATAGATTTATATAGTCCTCTTTTCTAATGAAATTCACATACAAATCTGCACTCAAATTAAACTGGTTTTTTGGGGTGAAAAAAAGTGCAAGGGTGTAAGGCAAAGCCAGATGCAATATCAAGATCATAAAGGGCTTTCAGGGCATCACTGAGGAACTAGAACATTTTCCTGATGGCAGCAGGGAGCCGCGTGCAAGTTTTCAGCAACAGAGTGACTTTCAACCAACATTCATCACTGAATAGCTATCTGTTTAGAACCTACTAATTGCTACAATCTACTAAGTGCTACAACCTGCCTTTTAAAAAATTATTATTATTATTATTATTATTTTACTTTTCTGTATCTTTCAAATGCCTCACAATTTAAGTTAAAAGAAATAGATCAGGCCAGGCACGGTGGCTCAAGCCTGTAATCCCAGCACTTTGGAGGCTGAGGTGGGCGGATCACCTGAGGTCAGGAGTTTGAGACCAGCCTGACCAATATGATAAAACTCTGTCTCTACTAAAAATACAAAAATTAGCTAGGTGTGGTGGCATGTGCCTGTAATCCCAGCTAATTGGGAAGCTGAGACAGGAGAATCATTTGAACCCAGGAGGCAGAGGTTGCGGTGAGTGGAGATCACACCATTGCACTCCAGCCTGGGCAACAGGAGCAAAACTCCGTCTAAAGAAAAAATCATTACATGAAAGGACATCATTAAGCGGGATTTGCTTAAAACATTTATTTTTTGAGACAAGGTCTGGTTCTATCGCCCAGGCTGGAGTGCAGTGGCTGGCTCACTGCAACCTTCATCTCCTGGGCCAAAGACATCTTCCCACCTCAGCCTCCTGAGTAACTGGGGACTACAGGCACATACCACCAAGTCCGGTTAATGTTTCTAGTTCCTTTTGTAGCAACAGGGTCTTGACATATTTCCCAGGCTGGTCTCGAACTCATGAGCTCAAGTGATCCTCCTGCCTCTGCCTCCCAAAGTGCTGCAATTACAGGCGTGAGTCACCGCAACCGCCCTAAACATTTTAAATGAAAAAATGTATGTATGTATGTATGTATGGATATATATTCACTGCAGAAACTGTCAGGGCAGTGAAAGAATCTAGAAACATCTGACCGAACGCCGTGGCTCACGCCTGGAATCCCAGCACTTTGAGAGACCAAGCTGGGACGATCACTTGCGCTCAGGAGTTCGAGACCAGCCTGGGAAACATGGTGAGACCTGGTCGCTAACAACAACAACAAAGAGCCACGCGTGGTGGTGCACACCTGTGGTCCCAGCTACTGGGGAGGCTGAGGCAGGTGGAGCTTTTGAGTCCAGGCGTTTGAGGCTGCAGTGTGCCATGATCGTGTCACTGCACTGCAGCCTGGGTGATAAAGTGAGATCCTGTCTCAAAACAAAAACATAAATAAACAGAAACACATCTGAGTATACACACGCCTGCAAAATGTAATAAAAGTGTCACCGCAATTCCGTGGAAAAGTGACTCAACGGATAACGGCAAGGCAATGAGAGAAAAAGGTAAATCCCTAACTAACCCCTTATCACAAATATCATACTCAATGAAATACAGATAAAAAGGAGAAAAAGAAAATATTTTTTGAATTCTTTAAACGTATTAAAAGAAAATAAAGGCGAACGTTTGCATAATCCTGAGATGAGGAAAAACTTTCCCCCCAAATGACACCTATGGACGCTTGCCCAAAAATAAATTGCAAATTTTTTTTCAGCCTCAGAGTCATTCGCAGATAGTAGAGGACAATGTGTTTATAATATTGGAACGGATAAGACCGTCCTATAAAAGACCAAAAATCCAAAAGGGACACGGGGCGGGTGACAGAAACGGGGACAGCGGGGACAGCGGCCGCCCCTCCCCCGCCCGCCGCCTCCCACCTCCCGCCTCCGCCTCCTCCCGGCGCGCACTCACCTCCGCAGACAAAGGGCGCTCCGGGAGGCTCCGCCCCCTGACGCCGCCGCCGCCGCCGCCAGGGTGGACCCGGGCGGGAGAAGGTGCCGAGGGCCCCACCGCCTGAGCCAATGACGCCCGGTGACTGGGCTCCTGGGGCCGGTCCAGCAGCCGGCGCGCCAGGACAGCTCTGACAACAGCCTCCCTGCAATGGCGGCGCAAGGCACTGGCCTCAGATCCCCAATACGCATGCGCCGGCGGCGCCCGGAGCCTCCTTCCCTCATCACCGCCCTCATCGCCCGGGGTCCTGACTCCCACTAGCTTCCCCGGGTCTGCTTTTCATCCGGGCTGTGCGGACCCTGCGCCCTCGAGCCTCGCCAGGATTTTCCGGTCCGAGAGGGTCGAGGGGGACGGGCCGAGGACCCGTCCCTTGGTCCCTGCCAATCAGAAGCGTTGGACTGTCCATCTCCATGGTGACGACACAAGCCTTGCTCTCGGTCGTGGAACCACTCCTCCTTCCCATCAATTTCATATTGATAAAACTCAAAATATAATGATGATGATATTGGCCGGGCGCGGTGGTTCACGCGTGTAATCCTAGCACTTTAGGAGGCTGAGTTTGGTGGATAACTTGAGGTTCGAGACCAGCCTGGCCAACATGGTGAAATCCCCGTCTCTAATACACATACAAATGTTAGCTGGGCGTGGTGACGGGCGCCTGTAATCCCAGCTATTCGGGAGGCTGAGGCAGAAGAATCGCTTGAACCTGGGAGGGGGAGGTTGCAGTGAGCGGAGGTCACATCATTGCACTCCAGCCTGGGCAACAGAATAAGTCTCCATCTCAAAAAAAAAAAAAAGATAATGATATCATTGTATCATTATATAGTAATGCTACTGATGCAAAGAATGGAATTTTTCTTTTTTTAGGCGTAACATTTTGCTTAATTGGAATTCAGAGTTAGTGAGTTTTTTTTGTTTTGTTTTGTTTTTCAGACAGGGCCCTGTTCTGTCGCCCGGGCGGGAGGGCAGTAGTGCCATCATGGCTCACTGCAGCCTTGAACTCCTGGGCTCAAGCATCCTCCCGCCTCAGCCTCCCCGGTAGCGAGGACTACAGCAACCCTGAGCCACTGTGCCCCGCTATTTTTTTTTTTTTTTTTTTTTTTTTTTTTGAGATGGAGACTTGCTCTGTCGCCCCGGCTGGAGTGTAGTGGTCGGATCTCAGCTCACTGCAAGCTCCGCCTCCCGGGTTTACGCTGCCTCAGCCTCCTGAGTAGCTGGGACTACAGGCGCCCGCCTAATTTTTTGTATTTTTTTTTTTTTTTTGGTAGAGACGGGGTTTCACCGTGTTAGCCAGGATGGTCTCGATCTCCTGACCTCGTGATCCGCCCGTCTCGGCCTCCCAAAGTGCTGGGATTACAAGCTTGAGCCACCGCGCCCGGCCAACCCCGCTAGTTTTTAAAACATTTTTGTAGAGATGGAGATCTCACTATGTTGTCCAGGCTGGTCTAGAACTCCTGGGCTCAAGGGATTCTTACTCCTCAGGCCCCCCAAGGTGCTGGGATTACAGTCGTGAGCACTGTGCTAGGCCCCAGAGTTAGTGTTCATCAGCATCAAAATTGTGTACATCTGTTTATACCAGTTACAATGAGATTTTACATATTTCATCTTTGAAAATGTTTTTAAGATAGACACATACTGCCAAATACTGATCATCCACGAACATATGATTTAACTTGAGTATATTCATTGCTTGGAAGACATTTATAGAGTTCTGTTATATTCTTCTCTTGAAATTTGCACTTTAGCATGTCATTATATGGCAGATTAATCACTTCCAATTGAAGGTTAGGTGGGAACTCCTCAACTGCACAGTTACAGGGATATCAAAATATAGAAATGTGCTTTGCATTCGCATAGAGGTCCAAAAATGCTACCAGAACTATAGATTGAGCATGGAAAATATAGCCACTGCTAATTTTGAGTAGGGATGGTGATCTTGCTTCCAGTTTTAACTTTAGACAGCACTGAAAGTATATAAAGCAGCTTGATATTACTTGTGATTCAATGTGGTCATTGAAATGACTTTATGATAGTATAAGTTATAGGTTACAAGGCTTAGCCTTGTAATTTTAGTTTGAATTCATTAAGTAATATTATCAAGTCTGCAGCAAAAGCTAATTTCCGAAGCCATTTGGTGTTTTACAAGTGGTTGGGGGTGGTTCTTTTCATTTAGAAAAAAATTTAATCTCAGCCCTGAGCTAAAAACAAACATCTTGATAAATCTTTACCACTGTCAAGGCATCGAACTGCTGTGTGGTACGAAAGTCAGGATATTTAGCTTCTATTTCTGACAATAATTCATGAAACTGACAATGGCTAAGTTAACGAGAGCAAATGAAGCTCTCTGTTGGCATTACTGGTTCAATAGCCTATGGCAGACCCAAATATTTTCCACAAAGTACCTGCTTAGCAAATTCCACTTGAGTTGTGCTGTGGTTTGAATGTGTTCCCCCCCAAAGTTCATGTGTTGGAAATTTAATTCCCAATGCTGCAGTGTTGGGAGGTGGGGCCTTTAACAGGTGATTGGGTCCTGGGTTAAGCACTCGTTAATGGATTAATGGTGTTATGGAGGGAGTTAGTTTTCTTAGGAGTGAAGTAGTTCTTATGAGAGCAGGTTGTTATAAAAGTGAGCTTAGCTTATTCTTGCAGTCTCTTCTGCATGCATGCTCACTTTCCCTTCACTTTTTTGCCAAGTTATGATACAGTATAAAAGCCCTCACCAGAAGCTGTCACCATGCTCTTGGACTTCCCAGTTTCCACAACCATGAGCCAAAATGAACTTCTTTCCTGTATAAATTACTTGGTCTGTTTTCTGCAAACTGACTAAGATAAGGTTATATAAGGTTGATGTAAAAGCAATTGTAGTTTTTGGCATTAAAAGTAATGGCAAAAACCACAATTACTTTTGTACCAACCTAATAATATATTAGGGTTTTCTTAACTTCTTTAAAAATATTCTTGCCTGACCAGGTGTGGTGGCCCACACCTGTAATCCTAGCACTTTGGGAGGCTAAGGTGGGCAAATTGCTTGAGCTCAGGAGTTCAAGACCAGCCTGGCCAACATGGCAAAACCCCATCTCTACAAAAAAAATACAAAAATTAGCCAGGCATGGTGGTGTGAGCCTGTAGTCCCAGCTACCTGGGGGACTGAGGCAGGACTCTAGTCTGGGTGACAAAGTGAGACTTTGCCTCAAAAAATAAATAATTAAAAAATAAAAATATTCCTTCCTGAAGTTGTTCTATTATACACGAACTATTTATAAAAGCAAATTCTTCAGTTACTTTGAAATTTGAACTGACTCCTAAATAAACGAACAAAAATTGAACAGTATTGGTGGCATATGTTGACTCATTAAGAGCCAAACAAATGTACTTTAGTTGGATCCTTGTTTTCAGTTTTAATCTTTGTAGGAAATTCAGGTGTAAGAAATCCAGTCTGCCCTGTGTACTTGTGAGTTCTGCATCTGTGGATTCAACCAACCACAGAGCAAAAATATTTGGGAAAACAATGGATGGTTGTATCTATACTGAACATTTACAGACTTTTTTTTTTTCTTTTGATTATTCCCTAAACAATGCAGTATACCAACTGGATACATGCTATATATTATATAGCTTTTACATTGTGTTAGGTATTATAATCTAGAGAAGATTTAAGGTGTATAGGAGGATGTGCATAGGTTACATGCAAATATGATGCCATTTTATATCAGGATTTTGGTATCCAAGGATATCCTGGAAACAATCCTCTGGGATACCGAAGGACGACTGTATTCCACTTCAAGTTTTCTAATTTTTCTGATTGTTGCTCCCTCACACAATTATCGTGATACTCTCTGGCCTGCATTCAGCTTGTGGGTGGGATCTGAAGTGAGTGGATGGTTTGGCAGGTTCCTTGCAGGTTACAATTAACACTCTAGTAGTTCCATAAGTCAAAATTTCAGGTATGGTGTCATTCAGTTGAGTCTTTTGTTTCGAGTCTTGCAAGGACCAAATTAAATGTCAGCAGGGCAGTGTTCCATGCTGGAGGCCCGGGGCTTGAAACTACTTCCAGTCTTATTCGGATTGTTGACAGAATTGAGTTCCTTGCCATAGTAGGACTAAAGTCTTTCCTTGCTGCCTGCCACCAATAACTGATCTTTGCTCCTTGTATTAGTTTGTTCTCATACTACTATAAACAACTACCTTAGGCTGGGCGTGGTGGCTCATGCCTGTAATCCTAGAACTTTGGGAGGCCAAGGCCGATGGATCACTTGAGGTCAGGAGTTCGAGACCAGCCTGACCAACATGGTGAAACCCCATCTCTATTAAAAAGAAAATGAAAAAGAACTACCCGAGACTAGGCAATTTATGAAGAAAAGAGGTTCATGGTTCATAATTGCACAGGCCATAGAGGAAGCAAGGCTGGGGAGGCCTCAGGAAACTTACAATTGTGGTAGAAGGTGAAGGGGAAGCAAGCACATCTTACATGGCAGGAGCATGTAAGATGCTTATTTTTTTATTTTTCATTTTTATTTTTGCTAAGCATGGTTGGGGGACAGGTGAGGCCCCCACAGCTTTTGCTGGGACACACTTTTAAACAAGCAGTCTCAGGAGAACTCTATCACAAGATGGTACTAGATACATGGTGCTAAATCATTAGAAACCACTTCTATGATCCAATCACCTCCCACCAAACCCATCTCCAACACTTGGGGTTACAATTCGACATGAGATTTTTGCAGGGACACAGATCCAAACCATATTTCTCTAGAGGCCGCCCACATTCCTGGTCCTGTTTTCCATGTGAGCCCCTCCCTCTCCAGCCATAGCCGGTCAAGTCCTTCCTGTGCTCTTAATCTCTCTTACTTCTACTGCATCTCACTGAGCTAGCCTTGGTCTTTTTTTTAAAAACACCAGGGTGACTCCTGATTTTAAAAAATAACGAGGTGTAGACTCAGCCTTTTTTTGCCTTGGTAAATTGAGTTTTTATTTTATTTTATTTTATTTTTTATTTCCATAGGATTTTGGGGAACAAGTGGTGTTTGGTTACATGAGTAAGTTCTTTAGTGAGATTTTGGTGCACCCATCACCCGAGCAGTATACACTGTACCCAATTTGTAGTCTTTTATCCCTCACCCCCCTTCTACCCTTTCCCTTGAGTCCAAAAGTCCACTGTATTGTTCTTATGCCTTTGCATCCTCATAGCTTAGCTCCCATTTATGAGTGAGAATATATGATGTTTGGTTTTTCCATTCCTGAGTTACTTCACTTAGAGTAATAGTCTCCAATTCCATCCAGGTTGCTGTGGATGCCATTATTTCATTCCTTTGTATGGCTGAATAGTATTCCATGGTATATACATACCACAATTCCTTTTTTTTTTTTTTTTTTTGA